AAGAGCTTATAATCATGCGTGTTACAATTAACAACACAAAACAAATTAGAAATAGCTTGGTAGCGATCATCCTTCCCAGGGGTTATTATCATCCATAAATTCCTTAATATTAACATAACATAAATAAATAACCCTTTTTATACAAACTTAGTTTAATAAAGTTTTTGAACTTTATGTACTTACGTCAAATTTTGTATACTTATTTTCTGGGATTTTGTTGTAAAGGCGTTGTCGCCACAAGAATGAATTACTAACTCTGTGGAGTCGAGTAACTAGTACCGAAATGGCGGGATATTAAAATTATGTAGTGGTTATTTTAGCACAGCCTTGTATATGAGTTTTTTTGCCTACACAAACTTACTTTGACAAAGTAAAAACAATAAACTTGTTTTATTCATGATTCATGTAATTTAAGGAACTTTGAAAATAAAATTTAAATTAAACAAATAATACATTAAAAAATTAATGATTCGATTATTAGAATTTTTTACCGATTATTTTAATATTTTGCAGATTATTCGCATGAAAATGAATTTTAATCATCCAAACACTACGGTAAATTACATAGCGACATATCATTGAAATGCCGTCAAGTAAAAAAAGTTGATAAAGGTTATTTTTTAGTATTTTGTTTGAAAGATTCAAATATAAATTACCTAGGATACCTTGAAAATGAATCGTAGTTTTGGGGGCGTGGCCTAATCTTTTGTCGGTGAAGCTCATTGACGCTGATGGAGTGGCAAAATGAAAGAGATGAAATTACTTCATGTACTTACGCAAATTATAAGATAGCTGTAACCGAACACGCTCGGAAATAAAGTACGAAAGCGGCAAAAAACATTTTTTTAAACAAAGCTTCGTTATGGATTAAAGAAACGGTTTGTGTGAAATTAGTATTATATATTATATATTCGTAAAAATGACTGCCTCGTTGGTCTTGTGGTTGTAGTAGTGCGACTGCTGAGCATGAGGTCCTGGGTTCGAATCTCTGGTCGGGGCAACAAAATCAATTATTGAGTTTTTCCGTCAAGAAATTCTCAGTAGCTGCCCGAAGTCAGGAAGTTGGCGGTGTCTCACCCCCGTGCCTCGGAAAGCACGTAAAGCCGTTGGTCCTGCGCCTGATCTCTCTCCGGTCGTGTCGGTTTACCGTCCCATCGGATTATGAGAGTGAGGGATAGAGTGCACCTGTGCTTGCGCATACACTTGGGCACTATAATCCTGTCCAGCCGGGCTAGCATGAGCCGGAGAGAATATATCCCCCGGAGAGAGGATATAATTTTAATCCCTTGCTTAGTTTTATCCACCCTGCGAGCATGGGCAAGAGACAAAAATTATATCCCCCGATTATATCCACTGACAAGAGATAAAATTATCTTATCTTTATAGTATATCCCCGTTTGACATAAAGAGTGGACATATATCTCCCCGTCCGTAGCATGAGGCCAAGGGAAAGAGAAAAAATTATCCCTTTTTGACATTTGAAAGGGACAATTTTATCCTCTTTCGCGGACGTGGGTTTAAGTTTATCTTCAAACCATTTTAATACAAAAAAAAATATCTCGAGCCTATTGCAACTACATTTTCGTGTCAGAAATTGAAAAACAAGAAAGAGAATTACATGAGCGATCGATACGTGATCAGAATACTTAATCTATTGGAATTCTCCGACAACGAATTTCTACGCCGGTTTCGGATGCTCAAAGATTGTTTTGTATTTGTGTAAAGAACTCTATGAGGCTTTAAAGCCTATTAATTCTGTGGATGGACTACCAGTGCATATTGAAGTAAGCATCTATTACAACCACCTTGTCCAAAAAAGTCTCAATAGCTCAATGCCATGATTTAATTACATAGGTTGTGTCAACAATACACAAGGCGAGTCCAAGGTCAAGTCAAATTTAATGATAATAGAATCGGTCTATACTATATTTTAGGTAAGTATTATAACATTTTAAAATAAAGTTATCAAACTTAGTAAAGTTACAATTCAAAAGTTTAAATTAAGAAATATGTTAATTCTTTAGCAAAGCTTGCTAAATATACTATACTCATGATTATAAAATTATTTATTCCTTGTTTTGTTTGAAATCATTACATTTTTATTCTTCATGCTTCATCATTTTCAATTAAAATTAAATCTTTGTGACTTAGAGTAGACATCAATTTTGATGTATTTTGTAATTTTCTTATAATGGCAGTAATTGCGGGGATATATTTTTTTTAATTTCTTCAAGAGGTTACACCACCCAAGAGTCTGTATTGTCCAGTTTCACAATTGGCTTAATTCTAAACACATATTTTTTAATAAATGTTATCACAAGCGAAGTAACACCTGCGATTTGATACAAGCAATGTATATTTAACTTAAATATTATACAAAAGAAAATAAAGAAATAATTGGAATAATAGAAAAAATACAAACAAGGCAGAAATACGCTTAAAATAAATATAACAAATATTATAAATGACATATTGTTTAATAAAAAATTATGAACAGTTTAGCAATATAATAAACAAAAGGTAAAAGAAATTATAAGTTAATGTAAATCCACTTAATCTTAAAACTAGTTTATAGCTAGTATAGTTTATAGCTTTATACTATGGTATATTATCTATGCGCGTGGATAAGTTTATCTACTGTCGATATTATATCCATCATAGGCCCATGCTCGCAGGGTGGATAAAGCTTTGACATAGGGATAAGACAATTTTATCCCTTGTCAGTGGATATAATCGGTTGATAAAATTTTTATCCCCTGCTCATGCTAGCCCGGCTGCGCCGATGGCTAGCCTCCGTTGAGACAGGCCGCCGTGGCCAAAATTCGGTCTGGAGAATTATTATTATTATTATTATTCGTAAAAATATTGTGATGGCATGGAGAAATGTAACTAATTAGAGCGTACTTTACAATTTTTTTCTATCGTGAAAAATTACATGTTATCATGTTTTTCTTTTATGCAATCCAAGGTCATATAGTCCAAAATTATACACCAAAAAATCTATAAAACTTAAAGAAATATGTGAAATAGAAAAACCACCACATTTTCATCACCTTAACGCATATCAATTGAAGTGCATAACGTGAAAATCTTACTAGTCATTTTGAAATACGAAACGGAATTGTTTTTTGCCATGTAGTGGCAGCGTAAGGGAACGCAATATGTCATATCCATAGAATACTATAATTACATACATAATAGAACGGGGGAGTGGGCGGAGCCCGTGTAGCCACTAAAATGTCACTAACACGTCAATTCACACATATTATTGTCAAAACGAGATGTATTTTGACATTAGAATCGTTTCCAAATTTTGCATGCTAATTATTTAGAAAATACCAAACTGCACGCTTTTTACAAGTAAATACATATTAGCCCTTCACAAGTCCACTGTTCAGCAGTCCCCCAAGTAATGCCACAAAGCACGGTCCTGAGCCACCTGCATCCATCGACTTCCTGCATATCTTACCAGGTTGTCACTCCATCTAGTGGGGGGGTCGCCCTACACTATGCCTACCGGTACGAGGCTGCCACTCGAGAACCTTTCTTCCCCATCGGTTATCGGTTCTTCGACCTATATGGCCGGCCCATTGCCACTTCAGCTTACTAATCCGTTGTGCTATGTCGGTCACTCTGGTTTTACTGAGGATATCCTCATTTCTGAGTCTATCAGGTGTCTCTAGCGGTGTAAGGTAATGTCGCAAATCGGCTCATTGCCTGAATTATCTGATCGAGTATCTCTTTGCTGTGTACATCCAGCACGTGCAACAGCAAAAGTGACAGCAAAAGCCTCCCTTAATAATATGCAGAAGCTTGATGGATGCAGATGGCTCTGAATGCTGCTTCAAGGTCATCAAATTATTAGAATCAAAGCTATTACAATCAAACTAAATTGGAAGGTTTATATTATGTATGATACTGGAGGTAATGTGTGTCGTTTGCCATGCGTAACTGAACTAAAGTACAATACACATCATAATACTTCACATTTTTACATAATAGAGCCATGCTGCAGCTTTATTATGGTTATAGAATGCGATTTACAAGTTCCTTTTTTACATGCTAAAGTTACACTGCAGCTATTCATCAGCTTTCTTTATAGAATAAGGACAATAAACGAGCATTGTTCAACCGATAGCGAGTAGATGCTGTGGCCCATAGACATAAACATTCCTCCTCCACAGATTCAAAATGCAGACGCACTGTCACCCCTGAGGACTAAGATGGAATGGCTCAATTCTAGTAAAACGGGTCTGAAGTTCTCTACACTCACCAAACGAAACACAGCAGCACTAAGCTGCTATTTTACGCTGGTATTATGTGAGAGCGGAGTCCTTCCTCGGTCGAGCTGACCCGTTCGTGCTATAACTATAAAATAGCTCCAGTGTAGCTCTTCCAAGTGGTGTCGTATACTATAGAGGAAATTGGGGTCACCTTACTCACATCTTCAAGCCATCTTGGCTTTCATCAAGTATGTAGTTTCGGATCTGTGGTAATTATGGGACAAAGGGATTACGTGCCTCTAGTAGTGTAGGGCACTGCTTGCTGACTTACCTGGCCGAGAATCTCCTTGCTGGTCCAAATGGCATGTGCAGCAGCCAGAGTGACACAGCAACAGAGCCCACTTATTAGCATGCAGAAGATTAATGTATACAGATGGCTCCATCATGCTCGAAGGTAACCAATGGGAAGTCTTATATTCAGCAGTGGATTTACTATGGACGAAACTGGATGTAATGCATGTCACTCAACATGCGTTACCGGACTAAAGTTACAGCATAATATAATATGGGCTCCACTGATGAGCACATTTTAAGTGCTAGAGATATACTGCAGTTTTATTATGGTTAGCAGGAATTCTTTTTTTTTAATTCTTTTTTAACAACATTCCCTCCACACTAGGATTTTCTCCTGTATCGTGGGGGCAGTTTACAAATGGAAATGGGAATGGCTGCAGCTACAGCACTAATGCGTCCAATACGACAGGGGGAGCCTCTCACCTGGCCCGGCATCTCCTTGCTGTGTCCGTCGGGGACGTGCAGCAGCACGAGCGGCGCGGTGCGGCCGGTGTGCGGCGAGCGCGGTCCAGCGCCAGCATCCACGCGGAAGAACCCGCGCCTCTGTAGCTGGATGATGTCGCCCACGCGCACTTTAGCCAGTTCCGGCTCACCCAACATAGGCACTTCCCACTACAATTAAATAAATATATAGTAATAATGGATTCCCGGTGCCAAAATTTGTGACAAAGACCCAAATTGTTGGATTTTGGGTTTGAATGTGTTACGTTAAATCCTACAATTTCTTATATTTACACTAATACTAGACATTGAATAAAACTAAGTTTACAGATTTAATTGCGTTTTTTTTTAATTTTCTTTTGCAGCATTTCGAGTACTTTACCGCACCCATAGTCATGGAGACTAAGGTGTTTGACGTCCTGATGTCACCATTAACACTTTCACTGTCTGATTTATAGACAAAATAGTAAGACAATAGTAATGAACTGTATATTAACGGGACAGCGTATGGGTTAATTTTCAGATATTGAATATTAAGTTTTGGTCCCATCCAAACAGAATGAGCTTACAGTATCTTGAAGTCTTACAGTTTGAATCTTGAACAGGTTCACAGACTGCAGACTTCCTGGAGCGTCGGTATTTAACGTTAGCCAAATGTATTTTTATGCGAATTTTTATCGATCTTTTTGTTTTTCCTATGTAAGAGAGACTACATTCACAATCAAGCTTGTACGCTCCTGCATCTCATAGAGAAATATTACATTTGACTGGATTTAAAATAAGTAAAGTTAGCTTTATTCACTACTACGTGACCAAAACAATTAGGCGCATGACAGCTAAGACTTCATTAGAACTAAGGAGGGAACACCAAACGGTGATTGGTCACAAGGGGAAGCGCGTCGACAGAGGAGGGGTGCGGGCGCCGAAACTGCATTCCTGTCATGCGCTTCACTGTCTTGGCAAAGTTATACAACATAGTCTGTGCTGGTGGTTTTACGATCATTTTCTGTATTCATAATCTATTATTATCTATTTCATATAATCGGTTATAAAACCATAAATTCCTTTACCCTTGTTTGATGTCCAATATATTGCTTGAAATCCTCATCCTTTCCAAGAACAGGTTTGGATATAATGTGATCGTAAAATACACAATACGTCTCCACCATTGGTGATTGCGGGGTATCAGCTAACCACGTCAACTTTAAGGTTTTCTTGTAGTCCTTGTTTTCTAAATTGGGTGTAGCGTCAATACTAGTCACAGTACCATCTGCCGCCCTGAAAGTAGTCAAATCAAATATAACAAGTAAATCATTTGTATGTATACAATTTTTTCACACAAGGTAATGTTGCAATAATTACAAACATGCTGCGTTCAATGCAGCTACAATAGGAACTGGGAGTTTCAAAAAATATATATCTTTTTTAATATAAGCTAGTGTTTAAATGAGCCCACCTGACAGTAAGTGGGTTAAATGCTGTTGTTAGTGTTAAAAAAAACAAGTGTATTTATTTGCTTGTATGGAGGGAAAAATTGCTGCAGAATTCCAATAGTTTTCTGTATGTATTAAAAATTAGAAAGGGAATAATAATAATGTCCTCCAGCATGAATTTTGGCCCCCGGGCAATCCGTCCGGAGACTAACCATCTACACAGGACAGGATTACAATATCCAAGAGTATGCGCAAGCACAGATGAACTCTCTATTCCCTCAATCTCAAAGTCCAATGGGACGGTAATCCAATACGACCGGGGAAAGATCGGGCGCAGGACCAACGGCTTTACGTGGTTCCTGAGGCACGGGAGTGAAATACCGCCAACTGCCTGACTCCGAGCTGCTGGGATGAAAATTTCTTGACAAAAATACCCAATAATTGGTTTTGGTCCGACCTAGAATTCGGACCCTCATGATCACTAGACCAACGAGGCAGTTAAAATGCGAGAAAGCAAAGAAACACTTTGGCCAAGTTATATGTTAACTTATTCATAACAAAAGTCTTATACTATATGTTGACTTATTCATAACAAAAGTCTTATTGTCCGATGATGGAAATGGGAGAGAGGGAATTATATTGTAATCAATGTCAAAACTCTCAAAAATATACTCTATATAATTTCACCATGTAGTGGCGGTTTAAGAATATCCACTACTCCATTTTATTACATGGGTGTCGTCAGCGTTTTCCTAATAACGACCAAAAATAAAAATAAAATGCAGTTGGCAAGATTACTATGACAAATATCCACCCTATGAAGCAATCTACGGAGGAGGCCTATATTAAGCAGTGAACTTTAATAGGCTGTAATGGTAAGTAATTTGGATGATATTAAGTCAAAGTTATTACCGAAAAGCTTATTTGCACATTGCTATCCACTGAGTCTAAAGTTAGCAAGCCATAACCGCCTAAATTATCCAAGGTTCAAAACTTACGTCGATTTAGAACCAATAATTTTCAGAATATAGGGTAAGTTAAAAATAAGTTTAGTTATCTAACAATATAGGGATGGACGGGTGACTCATGACCGTGCTTTGTGGCATTCCTTACGGGAGAACTAAGTTCAGTAGTGAACTGGTGAAAGGCTGTAATAATTATAAAAGAGATGAAAGTTGTTTGGTTTAAAATACTGTCTTAAATACAATCACCACCATTATAGACTAATATACTCACTTATGTATTTTGTCAATCATGATGTTCCCATAATTGATGAATGTAGCGTTCTCTCCCTCCTTTAACGTTGCAGCATCAACCTGATCTATAAGCAAGCGCGGAGCCACCCAAACGGTCTTTGAACCTACGTCTAGATTTTTAGGGTGCAATGCCACAGTCAAAGTGCTGGCCGAAGTTACTCCTTTTAGATTTACTGGCACTGGTTTTGATTCGAGAGCCGTATAGCGAGGAGCTATAGGGTCGATGACCTGAAATATTAATCAAATATTATTAAATTGAACAAACTAAGAAAATACTTACTATCCGTGGCCTAGTGGCATAGCAATGAGTTTTAGCGTTATGGGACGCGGGTTCGAATCCCGCACTGAACAAGAATTGTATGGCCTACAAATAATTGTTCCGGCTCTGGATGTTTGTCCTTGTGAATTTTATGTTTGTAAACTGCCTCCACGATACACGAGAAAATACTAGTATAGAAGTAACGTTTTAAAAAAAAAGAGACACCGAACTATACCATACCGCCGCCACTACGTCATATCACTGCGTGGTTGTCTTAAGAGACGAGAGAGGCAAATAAAACAGGCGATGGGCTGCAGCGTATTCCTGCTAACACCTTTAAATGATAAAAATACCGCGGTTGCCGTAAACGTAGCGACTATAACAAATATCGCCCCTACAAGATCATTTATGGCTGAGGTCTATGATCGGCAACGGACTTTGATAGGCTGTAATAGAAACAGAAATTTTTTATTCAATGTAGATTGTAACAATACTTATTGAAAGTCACTTTTTTCATTTACCACTGGTTAGCAAAAAAAAACCTCTGTCCTGGGAAGAACCAGCAAGAAACCCAGCGGGACAATTTTTTTTCCAATAATAGCTTACAATAATGTTTACAATAAACAACACAAGATAAATTAGAAATAGCTTGGTAGGGATCACCCTTCCCAGGGGTTATTATCATCCATAAATTCCTTAATATTATAATAACCCTTTTTATACAAACTTAGTTTAATAACATTTTTGAACTTCGTGTATGACAAATTTTGTATATTTTCTGGGATTTTGTGGTAAAAGCGTATACATCGCCCCAAGAATGAATTACTGACTCGGTGGAGTCGAGTAACTGGTACTACTAGCTTGTGTCTGTTCCTAGTATTTACAGAATGAATATCACTTATTTTCGCAAAACTACTTTTATTCTCGTGTACGTACATTACATTTTCATAAATGTATTGAGAGGCAATAGTTAATATATTAATTTCCTTAAATTTTTGTCTCAGCGACTCCTTTGGTTTTAAATTATATATTGCTCTAATGGTCCTCTTCTTGAATGAATGAATGAATGAATGATTAATACCAGCCGCTTTTTTGACGCAGTTACAAGAATACGACCCTATATGTTAAAAAATCGGTCAAGCCGTTTAGTATACTATACAGTACGTTTGCACTGAGAAACATCCAACACGTAATGTTTTGAAACAAATCGCATAAAATAAATCACACAACATGTTTTGTTGATGGTGGCGTTCGCTCTCCAAAAAACTGTGTAAAATTTTCAGCAGATATTCAAATTTGTCTTTCAACATGACAATATTTCTACAAATTTGTTTTCAAACATTTTGTTTCTGTAGTTATATAGATATAATATAGTATGTACAAGAAACTGTCAAACATATTTCACTACAACATTTACTTTGACTATGCAAACGTTTTTTGATACATTGACAGAAAACAGTGTTTAAAACATGTTTTTATGTGAAAATCGCGTCAGTGCAAACTCACAGACACAGAGACAAAGAAATAGACATACATACACTCAACATTAGCATTACCCTTCTTCTGGGGAAACACAAATTGTTAGTTTTTAGATCTGTTTATTATGTAATTGTTGTATCTTTGCCATAACACATAAGCATTACCCTAAGCACGGGTAGGTTGGGACTATAGGCCGTCAACGTCGTGCAGTCCGCGCCCACGGGGTACAGGGTGGAGAGAGATGACGTAGTACGCAGCTCGTGCACGAGGCCACGCCCACGGCTAACACACGTAGGGATTTGGGATCGAGTTATCTTGAGATTAATATTGATTTATTTAGATTTATTACGAAGTATTTTTGTAGTGATGAATTTGATATAATATTAAATCACTTTATATTACAAAAAAGTCCCCCGCCGCGTCTGTCTGTATAATAAACTCAAAAACAACTGAACGGATTTTCGTGCGGTTTTCTCCAATAGACGGAGTAATTCATGAGAAAGCTTTGCAAAATCTAGTACAAGTATAAAATGTAATGCACGCCAAAAGTAGAACGAAAATTGGGAAAATAAAAGATTAATCATCGAAGAATAATAATAATAATATTTATTCTAAATAAGAAAGTAATTTAATAATTTTTTTACACTTTAGAGCTGGCACACTTTACGTCGTATCACTCCTAAAGTGAAATTATCTACTTCAATTCGCTTTTCGGGAAACAAGATTTTTCTGGGAGATTTGAACTTGGAAGGACCTGCAGTGTCATCCATTGTATTTCTTTCACTGACAATTCTTCTTATTGTTCTTTACGAGACCCCTGTTGCTACAGACACGGTTTTTGCAAGCGACCACCGGCGACTGGCGCTCCTGAGCACGCGGCGTGCTCGCTCGCCCTCCCGCATACCGCTCGCTTCCCTTTTGAGACCGTTTTACCTCGTCCTTGCCAACCCCTGTACCCCGCGGGCGCGGACTGCACGAAGTTGACAGCCTATAGTCCGAACACTTGTGGCTCTTTAAATCTCCTTGCAGATGATATCTTTCCGCAGTATTATTAAAAATTTGTCACCGTTGTCTAATCAGAGAAGAGATCTCATGATTTAGTTAAACACCAGAGCATAATAAAAAAAAACAATTGCTTTATATTAATATCCTCTAGGTAAACGAAATATTATGTGCTTTTTTAGCTGAAAACCCGCTTTAGCTGAAAAGCAGGGGCTTAGCGCTCGCTGTAAATTTCACAGTAAGCGAGCAACTCGGGTTCGATCCCTTGCAATTTGAAGTGCTGATTTAACACGTGTTTGACAATGAAGGAAAACATCGTTAGGAAACCTGCATGTCCGAGAAAAAAAACATTTCGACGACATGTGAAGTCCGTGCAACACGCAATGGGGCAGCGCGGCGGACACTTCTTTGCACTCAAACCCTCTCAGAATTGAGAAGAGTGCCAGTGCCCAGAGGTGGGACGTGTATAGGCTGTATTTTTTTTTTTACTTTAACTTTTGTGCTTTTAGTTGATGTTTTGTTTATTTATCTCGAATCTAGTTTGATTCTATTATCCAGTCTAGAAAAGTAGGCATCTAACTAAAGAAAACATTATGAAACGTATTATACTTGTTATAATCTAAAGCAAGGTTTAGACGAAACCAGTAACGCTGGTGCCAGTCCTCAGACAAGCATGTGCTGGCCTGGCCCGTGTTGTTTAGATGAGACCAAATGAGTTCATTTCATTCGAAGATTATTCTTGTAAATTGTATTAAATTAATGATTTTTCTAACTTTAACTGTAAAATAATGTTTATCGTGTACATATATCAAATATAGGAATTTGTACAATATCACTAGTTAAATTTTTATATTGCAAATTATTTATTCTGGCGCGGGGGTTGCGGGGCACGCGGGCGGAGGTCACTGGCTTGAAACATAGGCAGGCGCTCTATTCCCGCCAGTGCTGACTTGTCTTGAAAAACTGTTTATACGAGGCTAATAACAAACCAGCGCTGGCTGCCAACACTGGCTTCTTCTAAACTTTGCCTAAAGTCCAAACCTTTCAATATAGTGCTCACCTATTTACCTTCAAGGATGACAAAATAAACATAACCGTCTATGTACTGCAGTGGAACGCCAGATACACCGCAAGATCGTAAGCACGTATGGGAAATAGGCATGAATTCGATATCGCAAAAGGTAACTAAATAATAACATACCGTAACGAAACATAATATCGTACGATATGTTGCATAAAGATAACGGTTTTTACAATAACGCTTAATCGAAGTGAATCCAAAATCAACACAGCTAACATAACTTCTCATAACGTAAAACCATATCCATTCGTTCCGCGACGAAGCAACGTAACCATCAACTTTCTAGATATTCGCCGCCTTCATAACAGATAACCCTACCAGTTGTGAAAACGGGTTATTCCGTTTATCCACCCTAAGAAATCTACCCTAGGGTGGATACTCGGAAACGCGTGTTCGTTCATCCACCCTAGACGGGGTGGATACTTCAATAAAATATAATTGTAATCAATTGCACTAAAACATTTCTTTCATCATAAGATATCTCTAAAATGACGTAAATTATGTTACATCGCATGATATGTATTTGAACAATTAAAAGTATTTCAGTTTTGACCTGTAAACAAGAAGCATGTATGCATTTTTAAAATAATGCTAATATCTACTAAGTAATCTTGGGCCATTTTCTATCATGTTTTTATAAATGACTGTACACAGTCGAGGGGGAAAATCGGAAGAAAAATAATATACGAATTCCGATTACGCACCCCGGGATAACCTGTGAAAATGAGACAAAGCGAATATCAAGTGCGTTTATCGATGCGAACGCCAAAACTTTAAGCTATTATTTTAAATTAAACTTTAATGTAACAATGTAAAGTCTAATGTCAAGTTTTTATCATTTTGCATAAATAAAGGTGTGTGCTGATTTCTTAACAATTAGTTTTGTTATGAATATTCTACCTCAACTGCAAAAACGGTAATAAAATTATGCTTCACATCAGTATATAATGGTTTTTGATATCGATACGAAAACTCCATATCGGTCATGTAACCGTTGTCGTAGACAACTGATAACATGATGTTATTGAGTTTTATTGAAGTACAAAATTTTGAATTTTACCACTTGTCTAGTAATAATAATAGTCCGTTAGAAAATGTTCGTATTACTAATTCTAGTTACTAATTTACTAATAATGTATATCGATAAAATTAACATCTAATAAACAACAAACCACAACTACAGCAATATGCGTATGACCCTGCCTCTCGACCCGTATCGTGCAAGAGAGAGAGAGAGAGAGAGAGAGAGAGAGTTGCAAGTCTTGGAAGAAATTGCCTACATTTCTTTATTAAAATATTGTTTCGTGCGATAACATTTTTACTCCCCTAAACGTTTACGAAATTAGATAACTTTCAAAGTCTTATTAGATTCAGTACACCTTAGGCTAGGTCTGTACGATTATCATTTTTACTAAATCAGTTTAGTTTTAATTAAGAAAAATAAAAACGCTCGAGGAAGTTTTTAATAAAAAATTTATTGCTATAATTACATCGTTCGTAATATTTCTTTAAAATTAAAACGTACGGACCTAGTTTTTTGTTATATCTACATTTCCAAAAATTATGAAAATTAGACTATGTTTACGGGTGGGAAAACGTTATCGCTTTTTGTATGAAAATTTACAGCTTCACAATCCTCTTAAGACAACAACACAAAGATATTTCATTGCTTATTAAAATTCGCCAGCATACCATCCATACAATCTGGATGATTGGCGGTGCCACAACTGTGCGACAGTTTTCTCTTTCGCCAACTTCTTTACGAAATCGCCTACCACATAAATCGTTCACTAAATTCTATACCTCGCCTTACAATCTTGCCTTCACAATACAGCCTTGTAAATCGACAACTGCACAGCACACGCCCACGACTCGTGCAGTTCTCTGTGGAAAAAGAAAGTAGCGGTGGTTTGGTAAAGACGCACCTTCTTGTTGATGGCCCAGATCTTGTCCCACTCCATGAAAACGACGGAGCGGCTGGAGCCCTGCGCGTGTATGAACTGGCGCAGCGCCTCCACCGTCATGCCGCGCCGCAGCACGCCGCGCACCGTCGGCATGCGCGGGTCGTCCCTGCGACGGCGCCACTGCACGTTTCACTATACGTTACAGCTGTATTATGCTTATAGCCCTCTCGGCTGTCTAAACGCCATGTTCTGGCATCTCAAATAATATGCGCATCTGTCAAACTCCATAATATGGCGTCGAGTGATAGCAAACTATTTGTAACATATATATGATATGTATAACATACATATATATAGCATATATACCTGCATGATTGATTTTGTCTAAATTTGATTTAAAAATGTGTTTTTTTTTGTGAACCTCCTTATTTTTTGTCCCGATGTCGAGTAGAGCTAAGTGATGCCTTTCTCGACCTTGTCGTAAACAAAAAAACGTATGAATTTTTTTTTTATATAATTAAATATGCTTTGGACGTACAAGTAAAACCAATAATACTTGGAATAAAGGCTTTAATTTCATAATTATTACACCTTTGCAGAAAATTGGGGAAAAAACACTGTTCTTACTTTCATTTTCAAATTAGTATCACTTTGAAGTAAACCTGTATTCAAGTTATACATAATCTGAGAGCTTATATAATAAAGTTTCCATTGATATATGATTGTAATCAATTTGAATTTGAATTTTGGAAGTTGAATGGTAATAACGATTCAACCGCATCATCTATATATATATATATATATATCAGTATCTATAGAACATCTGCTTATGTTTGACTTAATGGGCAATGAGCTATGCGCGCGCTCTATACTTTGCTTATGCATACAGTATCTCTTATAGCTTCGTGGTGTTTATTTGGAAATATTTTATTGCTGTATATTTGATAATTGAAGAAATTTTATGAATAACGTTTAATAAAAACTATTTTTTACTTTTAACACATGTATTTTCTTACCATCCATCAACCAGTCCTTGCTCCACAAACCATGTAAGTTTCCTTTTGGATAGCACCGTGTTGGTCATACTCAACCTGAAAATCATTACAATGTTAAGAATTTTTTGTTTCTAATTTATATATAATAAAAAAAAAAATTGATAGGGGCGTACTCCAATGGTTTGGGCACGTTGAACGAATGAGTGAAGACCGAATGGTGAAGAAAATATATAGAGCGAAAGTAAATATTAAAAGGTGTCGAGGTAGACCGAGACTAACTTTCGAAGACCATGTGAGCAAATTGCTCGAAGAGGGGAGGGTCACGAGTACTCGAATACCTAGACGTGCATGTATGAAGAAGTTAATGAACCTGAAGGAAGCGAAAGAGGTATGTAAGGATCGTGACACTTGGCGATCTGTTCTCTCTGGCTACCCCGTTAGGGATTGTGCGTGAAGATAAGTAAAGTAAGCAAGTAAGTAATTTATATAACAAATTCAAGTGATCACAGTATGTACTTTAATATAGTGTTCCGAACGACGGTCTCTTGAAATATACGCCGAACGCATCATTATCATCTTTAATATTTTCTTATGTTTAAATACTGTGGGAAACAAATAAGGAGATGGGCAGTAGCGTCTTCCTTAATAACGACTAAAATAAAAAACTGCGGTTGCCAAACAGCTTGCCAGGCGTGGCAACTGTGATGAATATCCTCCTATGAGGCAATCTATGGGGGAGGCCTATGTTCAGCAGTTAACTTTAATAAGCTGTAACGGTAACGGTTTAAATGTCTAAATGTTTGCTACGATTGTAATCAAAGTAATCAGTAACAACAATTTGATTAGATATATATGCAAGTTTTTACATGCAATATTTAGTAATTAGGTAATGTAAGACACACAGACTTTAACAACTAATTATTATTCCTAAAATTGGTTATTGCAGTCACAAAATATTTTAAACTATGTAGGTATCTAATGATACAGCCCTTGATATGGAAAGTCCAATAAAATTTTTTATGACCCATAAATACACATGAAAGTTGAATGATTATTAAAATATAGTCGTACTTGGTAATTGAGATCTATTTAGAAAGAATGTACTCTTAAATTATGCTGTGACAAATTAGGACAAGCAGAATGAAATTTTATAGTTCCTTGTATGACAGCAGAAAATTGAAGTATATTGGATATTGGAGAAATACAATTATGCAGATGTAATATATGTATAAATATACAATGCAATGTTATATGTATATGTAGCCTTTGGACATAATATGCAATTTCAAGGCGAAAAAAAAAAGATATTTATATTATACTGATCCTTTTGCCCTTCAAACTCAACCCAGAATAAGGCAAGAGTGTCATAACATGTATCCAAAAGAGCTCCTTAACATAAGTGGCCCTACCAATTAAATGTAAAAGTTCATAATACGTTTTACGAAAGTTCTAAAAAATCATACATACCGGCTGTACTCCCAAATATATGGTTTTCTCAGTCCAAGAACATCTATGAACCAATAGAATTGGGGGTCACGGTCATGATACTCCATAGTACGTAAGACATGAGTTACTCCTTCTATAGCATCTACTATTGGGCAAGCGAAGTCATATGTCGGGTAAACTCTGAAAGAATGGAAAGCGATCAACCAAATCACAATGTTATATAACAAAAATAAATTGTATGTAGGTATATATTTTATTTTGTGCCATGTGTTTAAATCCTATATTTTTCTAAAGGATTTAAAAGTTTATTATAACATATATTAGATACAGTAAGCTGTAACACACTAATAGTTTTGATTACACATAATCAAGCATACCTAACGTAGTTTTTGAAAATACATATTGGTACATTTCAGATATAAGTAATCCTATATACTCCCGAGGGTGTCGTAAGTGTCGTGTCGTGTCGTTGTTTGGTTCGAAACTGAAACAGGTAATGAGCAGCAGCATCTTCCTGATAAAAACCGAAAATAGTATAAAATCCGTTTGCCAAGCATGGACACTATGGCAAAATGTAGCAATTTTTGAAAATTTATATCGGAATATACGTAAATTAAAACAGGAGATTGGCAGCAGCATATTTCTGATAAAAACTAAAAATAATATTAAATTCGCTTGCTAATATTTTAAAATTTATATTGGGCAATAATAGGTTGGGGAAAAGTTTCTTCGTATTTTGTTTGTATTTAATTGAAGAAAAATCTTTTTGGTTGTACTGTTTGTATCTGGCTGATTTTAATATTAGGACATTAAGAAAAAGAAACATAAAAAGTAAAAAATACTTTCCCGCCATTTTTCAATGGTTTTTCTGTCCACAAAAATAAGTGAATCCAACAAATAAATTCGATACATTCTGAAGTTTTATTACAATAAATTAATAAATAAAACATTTTTTAAAACAAGCTTTTATTTAAGCAAGAAATTGAGAAAAAAACGGTCGGAATTGATCAACATAAAGTAGCAATCTTTGGCCAAGAAAAATGAGAGCTTGTTGGGAAGTGTTAATACATCCACCATATAGTCCTGACTTTGCACCCTCAAATTTTCCTGTTTCTTCTATAAAAAAGAAAACATTATCTTCAGAATTCTTTTGGTACTGTTAGGTTAACATCAAGAGCCGACAGTCAAAACTACTTGTCGCCTGTTTTTGATTAAAAATCAGAAGATTTCTACAGCAATGGGATATGTCACTATTTACAAAATGCAACAATCGACAACTTACTCGTTTTGTTGTAACAAAATGACAATATATATATTATAATTAAACTTTGAAAAAAAAAATGTCTTGAATTTGTATATAAGATACGACGAAATTTTTTCCCCGACGTTATACGTAACCCCATATACTGCCACGGCTGTCGTAAGAGGCGACACAGGGAAACGGAAATAGGAGATGAGAACCAGCACCTTCCTGATAAAAACTCAAAATAACATAAAATTAGCTTGCCAAGCTTGGACACTATAGTAAAATCGGTTGTGGCAATTTATAGCGGAGCCTACATTCACCTGTGGACTTTCCATAGACTGTAATGAATGACTAATTCATTGAAACAGCACAGTTTATTTTACAGTATTTAGAGGCATTATTAAGTCAAGCAGTCACAAGAGAAAAGTAATTTGTGCTCTAGTTTGCTTCCGTTTTAAATTCTGTGAAATGTAAGAACATAAGCATTAAACTTAACTAAATATTAAAGAGCAAAGCAACATAATATGTCAACATACTTATATTTCCTGCCAGTACGCGGGTGAGTTTCCGGCTTGCAGCGATAGATAGTGGGGTCACGCAAGCATCCATTGGCTGACTGCATATCGATCTTGGCGCGCACACAACACTGCACTCCTATGGAACTTGCCTTTTTCATCTCTTCCCACATTTGCAGATTCTTTTCAACAGCTAAAATATAAAATCTTTATATGTATAACATATAATTCTTCTGTATGTTTGAACTTTTTGAACTCCTAAACATCTGGAACGATTTTGATGGAATGGAATGCAATGGAATGGATTAAGTTGATTTGAGAATGGTTTAAATTCACAATTGAAACTGGTAGGTTTTTTTTAATAAGATAGGGTGACAAACGAGTACACAGTCCACCTGATGGTAAGTGGTTGCTGCGGCCTATAGACATCTAGATCTATCTTCGATTGCAAATCAAAATCAGCTAGACTAAGATGGAGTGCTTCGTTTCCAGTAAAAAGGGTCTCCAGCTCTCTACACTCACCATACGAAACACAGCAGCATTAAGCTACTATTTTACGCTGGTATTCTGTGAGAGCGTGATCCTTCCCCAGTCAAGCAGACCCATTTGTGCTCCAACAATACTACTAATATAACTACAGCATGGCTCTACTAAGTAAAGGAAAGGAGTCTCTAAATATAAGTTTTAATGGTTTAAAGAGCTGTGGTTGGGTGCGGTCGCATGCGACCGCTCGGGATTCGACGAATGCATGCGATGGCATGGGAATTTTAAGGGGACTGGGGGGTTAAAATATTTTCTTACAGTCATCACATCCTTACCTTGATACATCCTTAAAAGTCTTCTGTAGGCTTTGGGAGTTTCTCATTGTAAGGAGGATATACATTAATCTTTACATTTAGCAGGATTGATAATCGCAATATGAGACGTCTCATACATTTGTCTATTCCCAGGTAAATAAAATAAAAACAAATTATTATGTGACAGTAAAAATGCAATACATACAATTATTTCTGTTCTTGCTTTCGATTTTTTGGTCCCTTTCATTTTTCATCTGTTCAGCTGGTGTATCATCCACAAATGCCTTGCCATCCTTAATGAGCTTCTCGCAGTATTCTAACATTAGGTCAAAATACTGTGATGTGTGCGTAAACATGTCTGGCTTTATTTCTAACATTTCCACGTCTTCTAAGATAACCTAAAGTTTTGTTTGAAATTTAATGATATAGTTTGACAAAAGTGAAAGCCTTATTAACTTATTATTATAATATAAATTACTTAAAATCGAAATAAATGAGGAGCATTCATTCTATCTTTATCTGTTTCTTTCTATTGCCAATTAATAATTAGAGACAAAGCAACTTTAAGTGTTTCCTAAATTGACGTCGATTTTTATGAGTAAGGCCCTATAATGTTTAAATCCTTAGTCAACTTTTTAATATTTCCATGATCCATGCCCAATGTTATGCAAAATAAACTTGGGTTTTGTTTAATAACAGTATAGCTATAAAAACTCTCGGCAATGCTGGAGAGTAACTAATATAAACACAGGTAAAGGTATTTTAATTTCTACTACTATGATAAAAATGTTTAATAAATTTCTTATCATTTATTTGGAAAAAAAATTTCATTGCTTATTGGAAAATACGGTCGGAAAAATAGGGCCGCATCAATACCATATTTTCCAAGTTCATGACAATGAAGAAACATCTGAAATGCTATGACTTTCAAAATCTAGATACCAGGTTCCAAAATTATGGAGGTAGCTCTAATTGAGGAGTTTCTCCCGCACGACAAACACAATACAAAACATCTGATGAAAGTTGAATTGACTGATTGCAGATCAGCATAAAAAAAAGTTTCCTCAACAAAAGGGATAAATATTACCTTTTCAAATTCAGCATTTTCTTTAGCAGGATTTGTGTCATCAAATCTCATAATGAGTTTTCCATTAAAGGCTTGCTGATAGTATTGATTCAGCAAAGCTGCCTTGGCATGACCAATGTGAAGATACCTGAAATGTGTGAACAGAATAAAAAAATATTACTTTAAACATAAAATTGATATTAAAACTTTTTTGAGAAACTCATTCATAATTTATACTGGTGACTGTTGTCACTTGGTGAAACTCCAGCTATATTTTTGTGATTTGAATAAACTTGTATACTTGTTTCGCAATATTTTTTGATGATTTCACTTCATGGCATCATCAGGATAGTTAATCATATTATGTTTGTTATTCTTTTTTATAGTTATGTGGCCGTGGAGAGAAAAGGGGAGATCTCCCGCCGGGCAAGGTGTTATGCCCGGGGAGCGGCCAACACTCCGTGTGATAGTTCGAAGATGTTCTATATATGCTGTTTATGATTCAGAATGTTGATAGCGTGATTTAAGCTTCGGTGTGTTTCGCTTGCGGCGCGACGACAGCGTCGCCACATCACCCCCCTGCTCAGACCAAAGGTCAGCGTCCGATTGCCGGTGCGTCCTTAATGCCGGTGGGGAATGCATGCTGTGTGCGTAAGGGCAAGTGACACCGGTGCGAATGATATGCCTATGTGTAATGCATGCCCTACTACGCACTGGAAAGTGATGCCAGTGAGAACGATGTGCCGGATCAAGTGCCAGAAGTCTGCCTTATAAATCTGCGGTGAGTCGGGACGAAGACAACTTGGACTGGCTTGCAGGATATGAGGACTGCTGACGATATCTGCTCAGGAGCGAATGGGTGGGGTATTTTTATGACGATGATGAAGCTTGAAGTTTTCGTAGGTTGTTGGTTGCGTGTTCAGATCACGTCGGGTGGTCACCACTGTGGTCGGTGGAAGGAAAAGGGGAGATCTCCCGCCGGGCATGGTGTTGTGCCCGGGGAGCGGCCAATACTCCATGTGATAGTTCGGAGATGTTCTATATATGCTGTTTATGATTCGGAATGTTGATAGCGTGATTTAAGCTTCAGTGTGTTTGTGTGTGTGTGAATGTATATTTGTGTTATATATTATGTATGATTGAGTTAAGGGGCGATAAAAATCGGTAAATTTTACACGACGTCCTGAACGTGTTATGTGTTCTTTCGTGGTTTTTACAGCATTATTAACATCGAGTTTATCTGATGCGTCACATAGTATGTGGGCTGGTTTAAGGCGATCAACTGTAACCGTAACTTCCTTCCCGTTAACCAAGACCTTAAATATTTTGTCGCTTCTAGTGAGGACTTTGTGAGGACCACTGTATTTAAGCTGCAAGGATCCATGTGATGCGTCCTCACGTACAAATACGTGGTTGCTGTGGGCAAGATCTTTAAAAATGAAGACGTTTATATTGTTATGGTGAGACATAGGCACTGGACATAATTTTTGAGCAAATGTGCGAATACGGGATGCAAATTCGGTTATGTCCGTTGTACAGCTGGCACTGGGCTCAAAATATTCTCCGGGCAAAGATAAAGGTTTACCATACAATAATTCAGCAGAGGATGATTGTAAGTCCTCTTTGAACGAACTGCGTATCCCTAACAATACCCATGGCAGTGACTCGGTCCATTTTTCTCGTGTATGTCACATTATGGACTATTTGAGCTGCCTATGGAATCGTTCCACCAGTCCATTACTTGCCGGATGGTAAGCCGTCGTGCGTTTGTGCTGGAATCCGGCTATTTTGGCGAGTTGTTGGAAAAGGGTTGACTCGAATTGCTTACTGTGGTCAGTTATAATGTCTGTGGGGCAGCCAAATCGAGCTATCCAACAAGATAACAAAGCCTTCGCAACCGTTTCTGCTGTTATATCAGCGATCGGAACAGCTTCGGGCCACCTTGTGAAGTGGTCAACACACGTCAGACAATAACGGTAGCCATCCGACAATGGCAATGGCCCTACCAGATCGATGTGAATTTGTTTAAACCTTGCACGCGGTATTTTAAACGTGCCTATAGGTGAGCTAACATGCCGATATATTTTCGAACGTTTGCATGCTAAACACGTTTTTGCCCATTCCCGACAGTCTTTTCTAAGTTTCGGCCACACGAAACGTTCTGCCACTAACCTGTCGGTTGCGTTAACGCCTGGATGACTGAGCGAATGTAAAGTATTAAAAACTTGGTTACAAATGGCCGGGAAGTCGGTGTACTAACGTCGCAGTACAATGGGGTTCGACTCCCGGGTATAGTAAGTTTTTCTAGGCGTAGTGAAGAGCCTTCTTTTATGAGCTTTTCAAGCTCAGGGTCAGAAGCTTGGCTTTTAGCTAATGCTTCTAAGTCAATAGGCGCCTCCAATGCCTCTACACGCGAAAGTGTATCGGCAACAACGTTGTCCTTACCGGAAATATGCCTGATATCAGTAGTAAACTGGGCTATATAATCTGCAGAAGACGATTCTTAGTAGTGAATGGTAAGGGTTCTTGAGGATAATGACGAAGGCTTCAAGTTGTAGTTTCCGAATTGCAAACTGGTGGCCGTGGAGAGAAAAGGGGAGATCTCCCGCCGAGCAAGCTGTTCTGCCCGGGAGCGGCCAACACTCCGTGTGATAGTTCAGAGATGTTCTATATATGCTGTTTATGATTCGGAATGTTGATAGCGTGATTTAAGCTTCGGTGTGTTTCGCTTGCGGCGCGACGACAGCGCCGCCACAGTTAGTATATTAAAAATTTCAAATAAATATTGTAAAACATGTACAAGTGTTTATCAAGATCACAAAAATTACTTTTGTAATAATTCATGCATAGAATTTTGGTGGTGTGAGAGAATCTATTTCTAGTTTCATTTTTACCTTTCAGCAACTGCAGTTTTTTATTATTTTCAGGTCTGTTTCATTTCCTTATTTCACCTCTTACTACACAGGACTAAATAAAGTAAACTAATTTCTTATGCAACTATTACATGGCATTACATTTTTCTTGAACATAGGCCTATGTTCAGCAGTGGACTTGTGAAGGGCTGTAATGATGATGATGATGATGACATTTTTCTTACAGAATATGCAAGTAAAATATTCAGACTAATCTACCACTTATAAAGAAATCTCTAGGGGAGACAATTGTTCAGCAGTGAATTTAATTGGCTGTAATTAATGAAAAGAGAAGCCCATGAGTGTGTTTTATCAATCGACAAACCACCTGACAAGCATGGCAATTAAGGCAAATCCTTTCTACAATGTGAGAGGAAAATGTCCAGCAGTGGACTTTAACAGACTATTGATTATAATGATGATGATATCTATATTGTGTCTCCAAATTTTTAAAATTGAACCTTATCACCTGAGTAATAAATTTGACTATTGCTTTTAGGTTCTCGTTTATAAAACATATAAACAACATTAACTCACCCAGAAGCTTCAGGAGGGAATCTCACAATGACTTTACTCATTTCAGCATGAGGTAGTTCAACAAACTTGCCCTCAGCTAGACGTCCAGACCCAGGTTCTTTATTTGCTGGAGATCTCCTAAATAGAAGTATAATAACAAAATTAAATAAATATTTCTACTTATATCCATAAATACATTTAGATGTAAATATTATGTTACTTTTTTTTTTGGAATATGTTATTTAGTACCTAGTTTAATCACTGAAATTATGTGTGAAACAATAAATGTTTTATCTATCAAATATCTATGAGGCTATTTTGTGATCAATATTAACTAATTATTACTAAAATTTGTGACAGCTGTAACTCTACTCATTTGATTGATACTAGCAAGTTTTACATAAAGGCAAGATATTTACTGATGATTTTGAAAATGAAGCAATTTCTATTATTTCAAATGTTTTTATTTGGATGACATTTTCTTTGTTAGTACCTGGTGGAAATTGTCTTACAACAAAGGATTTTAATCTACATGATTTTTGCACTATGATTTAGATTATAAAAATATTTTAAAGCCCCAAGAATGTTTTAACCTTTTGGAGAGTATATTTGTTCGTAAGCAACAGATTTTATTTTATTTGCTTAATTCAAAAGAGGATGTAAGCAATTGATAATAATTTTATAAGAAGAACTTGATAATGGGATGAACATTGTTTGTAAATGCAACAATATACCAAGCAACACATCTAAAAAATATCCTTTGAAAATAGTTGTTGTACTGTTAAATCATTTTTATATGAGAAAAATTATTAGTGGTATTCAGTATTAATTTTTTACAACACGGGCTCAAATATTACTCTTCTCATTCACTAGGTACTTGGGTGTTAAACATCTTGATATCATTCAGTACTCATAAGTAATTTTTAATTACAAAATTGATTACCTTAAAATAAGTATATTAACTACAGTCAATAGTTATAGTACTAGAAAGACAATAAAAATTACTTTACCTATATCTGCTTAGTGAAATAAAATGATGTATCTTACCTAGTTTAAAGAAAGCCCTGCCCTCCCTCAATAGTGTGCCTCCGTCACCAATAATCCCAGCACAACTAGTCCCAACACTACTACATCAGGAAAGACACATGAGTGAAGTAGACTCTGCAGTGGTGGTGGACATAGTGTGCACAATTGACGGAGAGCAGGAGACACTCTTTAAACTAGGTAAGACACATTATTTTATTATGTTAAGTAGATATAGGAAAAGTAATTTTTTCCATCTGTAATATAAATGATTTCCACAAAGTAACAATTGATTCAATTAAGTATTAGAAAGCCTTTTCTCATACATTACTTGCTAAATATTAGATTATAAAATTAACTCTGAAATATACATTTTCGTAATAATTATTCATATATCTGTTTTTATTCATATTTTAAATAATTTTCATATTTTTAATTCAATTTATTACAAGGCTTTTCAAAAACTTTGGCATGTAGTATGGCAGAATTTTTTTCTATATCCAGCTACATTTTATGTGAAAATCTTAATTTGTTTTAAAAAATCGAAATATTGACAAAGTAAAATAGTCTTTAATATATTAAAAATGTCATCCTATGCAGTCGAAGCAGGAGTGGGTAAAGATATTGAACTATATAATACAAAAATGAAAAATAACAAGCAGTTACACAAACCTTGCCTTAGTAAGGTTTTCCAGAACATCTGTTGGTATTTCTCTAAGAGCCTTACCCACAAATTCTTGGGCCTGTATCAACTTCATCCATCGGGCAATGTTTGTTGGAGGTTTTTTTGAAGAAATCTCCTTAAATTTGCTGGAAACTGTAATGACATTACTTATTATAAATACTTATTTAAAAGTTTATTTACAATATTTTTTAATTTTCGACTTTTTTATATTATAAATTCTTAGGTGTTTACATATATCTTACCATGCAAAACACTAAATACTGCTAAATCTGAAACAGATATTGACTCCCCAACAAGATAAGTTAAGGGGCCAAGGATCTTGTCTAGGTATTCAATAGATTGGGAAATTTCTTCATCTAATACAAGACTAAATGATAGCCAATGGTTCATGGTGACTTTCTGTAGTGGTCCAGCCGATTTATTAAAGGCATTTTCAAGTATCCTTATCAAGTCATTGCTTGTTCCATATGGCACAGCTTTAGACGAATTGGGTAGAGTGACACTGGATTCACTACCCCATATTACTTCTATTTTTTTTACTAATGGTCTATAAAACTCTGCTGCAAGCAGGCCTCCTGAAATTTTTAAAAGAAAATTATTTTTTAAGTTTGGTCTGCAAGTGAGCGTTTACTGTTAGACATTTAAATTACCTACCTAATGGAGGGTTAGTCTTATTGCAAGATATGTTCATTTTCAACTGAATATGAGAATATGAGTGGTTAATTGAAGTAATCCTCGTTTAATTCAAAACTATATTCGCACCGAAAAACGAGACGAAAACCGAGCACGATGAAAAAACTGTCAGTGACCTTTGACAATTAAAATTCGCAGTGCTGCCACATTGAATTACCGTAGGTCTCTAGACTGCCGTCAAAAAGTCCCTAGTTATACATGAATTTAGTAACAATTAAAGACCCCAAATGTCGCTAAATTTAATTTTATTTAAAAAAAGCCGAAACAAAGATAAAATCGAACAATATATTCATCTAACATTAATATTATTATATATAGGTGATGGAATGTAGTTGTACTTTTTTTTATGTGTTTATTATTGTATAAGCGACATCCAGAGAACCTTTGTTTCGGTTCCTTTAGATTTTATTATTTCTTTAATGGATAGAGTATAGTATTCCTTACGCTTAAAGTAGTCAGATGGTAACAAAAATTGAAGTAAGTGTAAATGTCGCTAAAAGTCGCCAGAATATTTTTTGTCGCTAAACATTGAATTAAACTCCCCAACTTAACAAAAAACTCGTTAGATTTAGCGACAATGTCGCTAAAGTGGCAACACTGATAAGTTCGTAGAAATCTTGTTTTTGTTACGAATCGTGAGCAAAGATCTTAGATCATACAGCTAACTTAGGCTTGTATTTTTTAAAAGAATTCTGTAAAATATTCACCTAAAATACGCAGTGTCTCTAGACTATGAAATCAAGTTAACTAGTAACAGGGTCACAGACCAACTACACGTAGACTAGCAACGATATTGTTAAAAAAGAATATATAGACAGATACATTTTAGTATAAATTAATTTCCCGATGAAGAAATGGTCAGAAGTTCTAGCGGCATCGCGACTACCGGTTTATTTCTTCAGCATTATCGTATTTGATGTTGGTTTTATTGTCTGTTCATGTAAATTATTATTGAAAACGAAGTTTTAAGTGCTTTGAAGTTGATATAAATCCGAGATATTTTTATTTCCTTAGTAATAGTGGGAGATTTTTGTCATCCTCCATAAACTTATCGCAAAATAAGCGTGTGCTGGGTTATTCTATCGTTAAGACATTCCAAAAGCTTTGTAATGTAACATATTAACATGTTAAGAATTAAAAAAATACACTACTAATAAGGCTGTATGGTCTAAGAACTTTGCCTGTCGTAAAATGGAAGTCGCACACATTGACTAGAGAAGACTACATGACATACCTGCGAAAAACACGTGTATACCTAAACCATAAAGGTTAGAGAACAGGAGAACGATCGCCGTAGAAAATAGTGTCCCAGAAATATGGACACCATAACTGAGGCGCTGCGATCGCTGCGATCACTAAGTTCGGTCAATAAAAGTCGTTTTCAGTCTATTAAACCACTTGCACATCCACGCACAATAGAATATTTTTTCATTTTTTAACGTTTCTTTTTGTCAAAAATTACAAAACTTCGGAGCATTAAAATTTTCTCATTAAAAATGGAATGAAAATTTGTACATTGTTCAACTAACTTCATCTACTTGTACTCATAAACAGCTAACTTTGCAGTTACTACTCACCGACGTCAGCGCCGCTATACATTCTACAATTTTCAAGGACAGGCGGGCTATGCTTTAGTACGTAGTGATCGTACTCCTGTTCTCTAACCTTATGGCCTAAACTGAGCCCAGCACAAAGATGGCGGCTGACGTGGTGCTGCGCACTTTACTTAATATCGATAATGTGGCGTTTATTTAGAAAATGATTATTTAGTGTGATTAATCTCAAACACCCGTGTGTTCTTAGATAGGTTTTTTTTTTTAATCAATATGACGGATTTTTGGCGACAAATTGTAAGTCCTAATTTTTTTTACTCAACCTATCGATATAAAAGAAAATATCAAAATAAAGGAAATTAAAAGGAGATTACTGAAATATATATAAGTTACACTTATGTTTTCAGTTTATTACCTTTAAGCAGTCGTTTTTTTTGTTTTAATAATGTAACTAGCTATTATTAATATTATTTCCCGGGAATTACTTAACAAGAAATACTAATTAAAGAATTTTCGTTTGTTTGTTAGACAATAAATTGGGCTCAGTCATCATACTCACACTAATCAAACTATAAAAAATGCAAAACTTTGAATGTTTGCTTGTTCCTCAATCACGCCAAAAGTATCAGACCAGTTTGAATGTAATAATTCGGCACACAAATAATTCATTACCTGAATTAGCATATAGGATACTTTTTATCCCGATTTAGAGGTCCCAAGGAAAAGTATAATAAATTTCGTAATAATCGAATTCCACAAGAGAAACATATGAAAATAACACACTCACCTCACTAAAGTCGCAATGACAACTAATATATAATGTTATATAATAATTCATAGTTATCATTGACTGTGACAAAACATGGCACCTGGCCGCAGCAAAAAAATTGTGGCCATATTCGCTAACGATAAAACTACTGTTGCCATTTTTTATATAAGAATATACTTATAAGTTAAAAAGAGACGCCGATATTTCGTTACATTCCTAACGATCTTTATGTCATGTCCTTTCTTTCTTCTCTAGTCAAAGGTCGCACACTTCTTATTATAAGTAGTTTTCATAGTTTGTGGGGAATCGTGGGAAGAATAACTCTTTGATTACGTGTCGTGGCTCTAAACTCCTACAAAACTCCTATAACTACGTTCTAAAATGCGTAAGCATCATATTAGTCTGCGGTTCTAAACTTATGGCTGGTACCACCATACCACATTTATGCAACTGGAGTTTAAACTATTGAAGTTTATACTATATCTATGGTTTACATGCTGCGAGCTAGGATGCGAATCAGATTGCCGAATAACTGCAGTGCAGTAACTTGCACCATAAGGATTTACTAAACAAAACAAAATATCTTAGTACTTAAAAAACAAAATTCCTGATGTGCTTGTTGTACATTACGTTATACACCGACAACATTTGGTTGCTAGTAAGTAAACGACTGTTTTAATCATTGTGACATGTCATCAAAGCAGTCAATGAAATCAGAAACAACTCCTTTAAGGTCGTTTATATACCGTTTTTTCTAAGCATCCTACATAAGTAAGTGAAATAGTAATATTATATAGAAAATATACAGTTAATCTGGATTAAAACTGTTATTGTATAATTTTGATTGTCGAATATTTAGAGGTTATTTTTTTATTTTCTTCGTAGGGTGAAATTTCGTACACTTAATGGGGCAATTTGGTCCAGTGTCCCAAATGCCCAGTGTCCTAAACGCAGGAATCTGAAAGTGTGTAACACAAAAATATTGTTTTTTTAAAAAACTCTATTAATAGGCATACACAAAAAAGCATTCTATATAGGGCCTATAATGCCTATAGAAAATAATAAAATATAATGCCTAAAGAGAATGTTCCTTTGTTTTAATACTTGTCTCCTTCAAGAAGTTAGGACTATTGCTTTATTTTTGATAATTTTTGTTATTGTTTTGATGATGAAAACGTTAGTTTCGTTTAGTTATGATTATGCGAATTTTCTTTTTGTTCATTTTAATGTAAGGATAAAAATGACTATTTTCTTGTTTTTATTTTTATTATTTTTGTGCTTGTTTTGCTTAATTTAGATTAATTTTGGTTTACAGTAATGTTTATGTGAAATTTTGTTACTAAATGTGAATTCATTCTTAGTAAAAAGTTTTAAAACAAATAATCTTATATTTTCGTTAAACACCCAGATAAAAATATAAAAAAATACTGAATTTTGAAAATTTTTGGGTTTTACCTTTTTATCATTAACTATGATAAGGACCAAATAAAGCACGTCTGATTTCAATCTTTTTATTTGCTTTAACATAGACAAAATATTCGAAAACTAGCTGTTACCCGCGGCTTCGCCCGCATGGTCACTGGGAAATGAACTATCCATTGCTTTTTGAATTTAAAGAAAACTGAGTTTTATAGATTTGTCAGAGATGCAGCCATTAAAAGGAAACTGAGCAAAATTGATTCGTCAGCCTATTTAAATGTTTTGAAACGCAGCGTATAGGAAAGCATGAAAATAGCCTGTTTATTCCAAATGGAAATGGGATATTTTTTTAATTAAAGGAAACTGAGCATAATTATCCGTCAGGGGTGCAGACTTTTGAAAAGAAACTGAGCTAAATTGATTCGTCAGAGATGCAGTTTTCTGAATTGAAAGGAAACTGAGCCAAATAAAAGATCCGTCAGAGATGTAGCCTTTTGAGTTGAAAGGAAACTGAGCTTAATAGGTCCGTCAGAGTTGCAGCATTTGGAATGGAGAAGATAACCATTTTTTCTTTTATTTGCCAAAAAAGTCTACAAAAATTTACGAGAATAACCGTGTTTTTAATTTTTATCTATCTTCAAAACTGACCGAGATATAAAGGCGCAAAGTTAACATTTTCGGTCTAAGCCACGGGCCGAGAGCGACATCGTTGATGACGTCACGATTTCCATCTTCCTGCGAGAGACCCGACTCGCACTTAGAAAATCAAAACATTTACTCGAATGTGCCCGTCGCGCGCGGATTTACTTGCTATATATTTTTAACAAGAAACATTATAGAACATGACATCATCTATTAAATATTGTGCTGTGCCTCAATGTAAATATACGGCCACAAAAACACCTGAAAAATAGTTTTTTAATGTGCCTAGAAACCCTACCATCAGAAATAAAGGGACAAATGCTATGAGAAGAGCACATACTTTAGGACCAAACACGGTAGCATATTGTTGTGAGGATCATTTCTATGTAAGTATTCAAATAATAATAACCTTCACATGATAGCTCTTGGTTATTGCTAGTAAATGCTTTCTATTAGGCATGTTGGTACCTACTCGAGTCGCAGTGTTTAAGTAACTAACGATTCATTGAACCTTTCCACTAGACGTGGGCGTTATTTCACGTCACTATATACAGTAACTGGCTACGCGGCATGTAACCGAATCACTAGTTTCGAGTCATGTTACAAGTAGTGATT